TGCTGAAGGAACACCGAAATGTGGAGATAAAGCCAGGCTCCTGCACGAGGGTATCTGTGGTACCAGCCCAGGTACAGGCACTGTGCCTGGCACTGCCACAGGGCTGGGTACTTTGGGCTGGGGCCACTCAGCACAACGCTCACCTATGTACCTGCTGCCCCATGCATGTCCCAGCAGGCTCAGATTCTTCCAGTCACTCTTTTTTTTTTTTCCCTTATTTTTCATTTTCAAGCAACTCCTCCGCTCCTTTTCCTTGCTCCCCATGTAATAGCACAAATGAGCTCTACTTACTCACCTCGGCAAAGCTGCTCTGACATGGATTGGATTGAACTGAGCGGCTGTTTGAAAATGGAAACTCCAGGGACTATTGTCATCGCCCAAATTGCACCTTAGATTGTATAACAGCACGTCATCTGGCCATTTATCAGGAATATTACATTCCCAGGCACTTGCACCTTGCTACGATTTAACTTTGTCTCTTTGGCCAGTGCTGCAATTCCACTGGAGATAATTCAATTGCTCTGAGAGCTGAATGGGCACCTCACACACCCGCTCCGTGTTGTTCTGCTGCAGGTATGTGGGTGTTGAATGGGAGACTGGAAGACTTGTACACCCTGGACATTCCTTAATCCCTCCTTTTGATGAGGGGAGACCCTTCCTGTGTGGAGCTGGAGGCTCTGTTGCTTCACTGACCATCCCATGACCTCTGCTGCTCCTCCTGGGCTCTGGCTCTCAGGCATCCATCCTGTCTCCCTGCTCTTCTGACCAAGAGCTTTCATAGTGGGATTGGGAAGTGCTGAGAGTCTTGGCTGGGCAGGGGATTTTGTCTCTCCTACGAGGTCTTTCTGCAGCTGCTGGTTTTCGGCATCTGCTGCCTGGCTGGGACCCACAGGCAGCACAGTCAGGGCTTGGGGCTGGCTGGGGCTGGTTTCTAGTTGCCTTTGTGCTGGTCCTCCAAGTTGCAAGTAGAAAAACTTTGAAATCTGGAGCTCAATGTGGATTTTGCTTTGCTTGTTGAGGAGCATATTTATTCCAGAGGTGGCTGTGGGTTTTCTATTATTTCATATTTGCTATGTGAGAGCTTACGTTTAGCAATGACACTTTTTTCCTGCCAAGTGTGACTTCAGGATAATGCTTACCTCTTGATGCAGATGCTTCTGCCAGTACATTTTGTACCTGGGGAACATTTTGAAAGTGACCTCTGAAACAAGGTTCAGGATTTGTGCTGGGTGAGGGCAGACTGGCTGAAATAGGGACATTGCTGCTGCAGGACCTGCTCATCTTGCATACAGCCATCACCTGTGAATGACACCTGTGCTCAGGTGAGCTGCTCAGCATCTCTCCAGACCACCTGGATGCCACACGGGTCTCCCCACAGCCCAACTGGCAACAGGACTATCACCCCAGTGTGTGTGATGTCCTTGGCTCATTAGAAAGTCCAGCCCAGCTCAGGGAGGCTTGCACAGCCCTGGGCCATGGTGTTCCTCATCCCAGGGCTGTGGTGTTCCCTGTCCCTGGGTCCTGGTGTTCCTCTTCCCTTGTGCCATGGTGTTCCCCATGCTGTGGTCTTCCCCTTCCCCGTGCTGTGATTACTCTTCCCCTGAGCCATGGTATTCTCCTTCCCCGTGCTGTGGTGTTCCCCTTTCCTGTGCTGTGGGGTTCCCCTTCCCCAGGCCATAGTGTTCCTCATCCCCAGCCCATGCCATCCAGTCTTGTTGGGTCTCACCCCACTCTGCCCCTCTGTTGTTTCTCCCTCTCACCCAGCCCATCTGGCAGCAGTTTCACACCAGCTTGCTCAGCCCCCTGCCATCCACACGGAGGTGAAGAGCCGCCTGTTTTGTCTGCCTGCCACTTATCATGTCATGCGTGTGCAGTACTTATCACCTGGGCTTCGCTCCTTGCATTAAGAACATTTTTTTAGTGCAGACAGTAACAGTCGTATTGACTAGGGCAGATCTGGGGCTGTAAAAGAATTTCCTGTTGTCCTATTTCCGATTGTTAAAGTGGTAAAAAAAAAAAGAGCAGTACAGTAATGTGAATGTGAACGTGAATGACTGTCCTGGGTGCTGTCAAGGCTGGGTGAGTCAGACTTGAGCTGCAAAGGGCAGCGCCAGGAGTGTGCCCGGCGGCTCCGTGCCTGTCTCTGCTTGGGGAAGGAGGAGGATGTGAGGTAACAGCTCTGGGATCAGCCACTGGAGAAGCCCAGACCCCACTGCACATGCCTTCTTTGGACCTGGGATAGCAGAGGAGTGGTGTTCCTGTGTATCAACAGGGCTTGCTTGTGGCATAAAAGTAGTATTTTATATCAACTACAGGGGTAAGACAGTGATGGATGGGTAGCTGAAGGTCTCCATTCTGCCATGGAGAAGAGGCTTCTCCTCAGGGCTCTGCTGCCAGGTCAGGGCTTCTCTGGGCAACCTAGACACATGTTGTCCCCGAGAGCAGGGTGGTTTCTGGCTGCAGGATGTGGTCTCAAGGCTGAGATGTGTGGTGGGGACAGAAGCAGAGTGACAGAATGTGCTGTGGAGCTACCTGTTGTCTCAGGTCTGTGGGTGATGGTGACTTCTGCCCCTCTGCCTGTCAACCCAGCCTCTTTCAGTCCTGTGAACATTCCCTTCCTAAAGTAAAAGATTGAAACACTATAATTTAATGTAATGCTTTTCAGCTCTTCTCCTCCCTGCATTTCAGCTGCTGCTGGTGTGAGTTCTGGTGTCCAAAGCTGATCACCTCCCTGGCAGATAGGCTCCACACCAGGTCTTTAGTGAAACTGCTCTTAAAGCATGGGACCCTTTCTAGGCTTTGAGTAGTATCCACTTGCAGTGATCAGGGAAGTCCTCCTATTGTTTTTAACTGTAAAATATGCCAGCTTGGAATAAATGGATCAAGGCAAGACAAACCTGCCTGTGCTCTCTCTGGAGAGCGGTTTGCCTTGGCTGGATAGATTCGGGGCTGAGACGTGATTCTGGGTGAGGAAGGTGAGGAACAGCAGCTCCCCTGTGCCTTCCCACACTGGACCAGCCAGCCCAGCTTGCTTGCAGATCTGGCCTTTCATGTTTGTGGAGAGACTGAAGTGATGTGTGCTCCAGCAACGTGCCCAAGGTCACACAGCACAATAAATCAGTGTCTCATCAGGGATGAGAATCCAAGATATTTCTGTAGCCCCTCCAGCCATCACCAAGTCCTCTGCTATCACAGCCAGAATACACAACTTTGTATGCCTGTGGCACCCTTTTGAAGTTAAGCTGTGGATAAATAGGGAGACAGCAACACTTTCTGGGCAATTTTTCATTTTTTTTCCTCTCTATTTTGCTCAAGTACTTGAAATTAACAGAATCAAAGTATAAGATCATGGGCTTTTAGAGCTTGGTGCAGGTTGTTCTGTGTGCAGGGCTCAGGGCATCCTTCTCTCAAGCTGCTGTAAAGGCAGCTGCCAAAACCCAGACTTCCTCCCCTCCGCCCAGAGCCACGCTCCACACCACTGTGTCACTGCTCTGATGTAGAGAAAAAGCCGATCTTTTACCCATAGATTTTTCAATTAATTGGCTTCTTCTCCTTTAAAAAAAAATCCTTTTGGTGTTATTTTTCTTTTCTTTTCTTTTTTTTTTTTTTGAGGTCTGCCTTTTACTCGTTTATTCTCTGTAAGTGTTAAGCTGCTCATATTTTGGTGCATTGTGTTATGTGCTGAGAATTTTTATCAGCCGCCCTAGTGCTCGAATGTGGTGGAAATACCAATGTGTCTGAGGAGCGGAGGTTATGCACACAGATGTACAGAGCATCAAAATGAACGGTTTGCAGACAGACGGGGAGGAAACCCAGGCTGAGTCTGCACCTTTGCCACCTTCGATCCATCAAACCGGCACCGACCAAGCGCGGTCTCGTACGGGTAACGGCATTAGTGCTTTAATGCTGCTTTGCGTGTGTGTAGGTTATGGTAGGAAGGAAGGTGGGTCTTTGCGTAGGGAAGGGTTGTGCTTTAAGAGGGCCAGCTGAAATTACAAGCTCTTATCAAATGAAGGAGAATCCGCGACTGAAAAGCAGCCAGGATCCTGTGGTGTTCGGCGGGAGCCACGGTCGGATGCTCAGAAAAGGCTGGGGATGGTCAAACTGCTGGATTTGATTTCCAGCTTTGCACTTGGCTGAGCCTGGCTGCTTCTCTGGGCCCCGGTTTGTCCATCTGTGATGTGGGGGTGAAGCTGAGCAGTCCCTTGGGGTTGGCTGGCAGCGTGGGAATGCATGCAAGCACCAGGCACAAGGGTTTGCACTTGCCTGGGAGCCCTTGGACCTACTCATGGAGGGTCCTTGTAAAGGGTTAAACTACCACTCCATATTTCAGCACTGTAAAGTGGTGTTGGGACAGCCCCAAGTCAAGAGAATGGATCTTTATTGCTCTCGTATGAATAAAGCCCCAGCACTGGGAATGACACATTTAATCTTCAGTGGAGTGGACAATCTTGGAGATTTATAAAGCCTCTGTTGTGTGGGAGGTCTGTGGGGATCAAGCAACAAGTTAAAACACAACCAAAACCAAAAAGAACCTCCCTTCCTCCCTTTTTCCTTTCCTCCCTCTGTTCCTTTCCCACCTCTGCGAAAAGTCAAGCTTAAATGTCACGTCAAACTGAGCTTAAAACATGGTGGCCTTTAATGCTGGTCACTAAACCCAGGAACCGCTGGCTCTGAGGGCTTGATACACAGACAGACCTGCTGTGATGGATTTGCTGCCGTCACTCCTTCCCCAGGTTTCTGGTCTGGTGGTGGCAGGTGACACACAACCTGTTGGAAATTGAACTCCAGTCTGTAGAGCAGCAAGAAATGGCAGTAAAATCCCTCCTCCAAGCCTTGCCTTAAAATCAGTTGCTGTTTGAGGTAGAACCACTGCTGTTTGGGGTAGGATCTCCTCTCCTTGGGAGTGGGGGGGATGCGCAGCACCCGGCTCAGCATGGTTGGTAGGCACCCCCAGCTGGGCTCCTCTCCTCACCATCCCTTGTGTTCTCCCCACGCAGATCAGAGCGAAGGATTTCACTGCCGGGAGGAGTGCCGCATCCTGGGCCACTCGGACAGGTGCTGGATGCCCCGCGGTGCCGTCCCCAGCCGCGCCAAGTCCCCCGAGCATGGGAGGAACGTCATCGCTCTCTCCATCGAGGCGACGGCGGTGGACGCGGAGCCTTACGCAGACTGCAGCACAAAAAGGACCTTCGCCACCTTCGGCAAGGAGGGCGGCGAGCCCGCGGCCGAGGAGCGGCTCGCCAACCCCAAAGGCAAAAGAACGGTGGACCCGCCCGCCTGCAGCCCCAAGGTGAGCGGCGCCGTCCGCGAGGCAGGCAACGGGTGCGAGGCCGTCAGCCCCGTCACCTCGCCCCTCCACCTGAAGAGCCCTTTGTCTGGCAAACCGGCGGCGCCCTACGGTGCCGGGCACTGTGCCGGCAACCGGGAACGGGAGCCCTTTGGGAACAGTGGCCCTTCCCGGCCGACGGAGGCAGAGCCCCGGGGGGCGGACAGCGAGAGCAGTGGGCAGGAGGGCAACCCGCTCCTGCAGGAACGCCGGGAAAAGGACTCGCCCGGCGCCCGGAGACTAAAGGACATCGTCCTCTGAGCAGCACCCGGCGACAGGAGGATGAGGATGCGGATGTGGATGAGAGGATGAGGGACCGCACGACTCCCAGCGCAGATTGTTTTTATTGCTTACCAATGGTTCACAGATTGCTGTATTTAAAAGCTTTCCCTAAATGTATTGTTTATAAATGAAGCTATCGTTAATGTGACAATCCCACTTGTCTCGACAGGCGGCAGGGGTGTGCAGCCGGAGCGGAGTAGCCGGTGTTTTTGCTTCGCCGGGAGGCGGCGGGTGGCGGGGGCAGAGGCGAGACACCCCCAGTCCTCAAGAGTGCTCGGTATCCCCTCCTTGGAGTTTATATATTTTTATATCTCGAAACAAAGATAAATTTCCATTCCCGGAAAAGAATTGAGTGGCAAATTCCTTATTCGGACATGTTTAGTAACCACCCCGGCGGTTTTGTAGTCTGGACAAAGTAGCGGCTGTTTCTTGTGTGCGACTGTTCAAAGCGACAGTCGGGTGAGGTTCAACATTCACCCAACATGAGGTTGTTTGTATTTTAAGGTGTTGGTGTTTTGCTATGGACACCCCTGCAATTATGAATCCTTTTGCTGTCACATGCTTATCTGTACTATTATTGTATTTGATATTGCAAATTACTGTATGTCTGGTGATGGCAAAAGGCTTTCAGGCTTAAAAGAAAAGAATTTAAAAAAAAAATCAGAATCATCTTACTTAAACTTCGGGGAACCTGCGGTTTGCAGCCCCGGTGGAGCAAGCGCTTCTTCCAGCCCCCACCATTGCCTGCAGCCTCCCCTGGCTCTTGCAGGGCAGTGACAGGGCATTACAGGAAGATGTTTTGGGGAAAATCCTGCCTGGATTGCAACTGTCGGATGCACTGTGCTGAACTTTTTCCCTTATCCGTTTCTTTTGCGTAATTTCATGGCAAGGCATGGAAAGTTTTTTTTCCAGAAGTTGGTTGTTTTGGTTTTTTTCCAGTTCCCAGATTTAGATATCCCCCGTCTCCAATCATTTCCAAGTCAAAGAGATGGAATTATTTAAAAGATCTAAATTACCTGCTCAATTAGACACACACTTCCAAGTCAGCATTTCCCAGTCACAATTACGCCAAGTGTATGTGTGTATGTATGTCATCATGGCATGGATTTTAGACTGTTCTGATTTCTTTCTATCCCTGCATCATAAATAAGTATGGAATGAGCAATAGTGATGTTAATTTAGGGGCAGACAGGTGATATGTAACAACGCTACTAATTCAATTAATGTGCCTTCTTAATGGAGAAAAAATTAAAGCAATTCATTATTTTTTCTCATAATTAAGGACTTTTTTTGTGTGGGTGCAAATTTACTCATATAAAATTGATTTAAAAATTGAGCTACTTTAATAGCCATTTTGTAGAAGGGAGAGAGGGAAGGGATTCCACAGCTCTCTGCTCTCTTGCAGTGATAATTCCTCAGTGAGGTATGAGTAAGGTAGGAGGATTTCAATTAGTGTATTATTATTTTTACTATTATTGTTAACCCTTCACTGAACAGATTTTTTCCTACCCTAAATAATGTTTCCTAGAATTTAAAATTGATTATGGAAGGGAAAATATATAGCTCTTGCCAATGTTTGCTGTACCAGCAAGTTGAAATTAGTGGTTTCTAGAGAAAGAGTCTTTCTAGGTCTACATATCATGATAAAGTATTTGTTACTTTGATTTATTTAAATGAAAACAAGAAAACAATATCCAATCATTGTCATCCTCAAAATAAATTTAAACTCCAGCCATTTGTTTTTTTCAGGACAAATTGATCTTGGCTGAAGCCATAACCAGTCCAAGACAGGTCCACAGTCAGCCTGTTCCCCCTGCCACTTGCTAGGTCCAGGAATTGGGAAAGAATCAACAAAAAACAGTCATCTAATGAAATTTGTTACACTTCCCTCACTGGTGTGATGACTACCTCATTCAGCTCCCATCCCACGTGTTAATGTGATGTCCTGCATCCCTCCAGAAAGCAAACCGGGGTTTTTCCCTCATGTTCTGGATTCTGAGCCCATTTTTCAGGGATGTGTTGTTTCTGTTCCTGCCGTGTTTCCTGCCTGTGTACCGTTACTGCTGTCATTTATTTCTGGGGTTTTTATCCCCAAATGTGTTTTTTATTATAACACAAGCAAAGAAGAAAGGGGCTGGCTTGAGGCTGTTGGAGTAACTGGGTGTTCTGTAACCATCAGGCTGGGTTTATTCTGATGTTACCTGGTTTTGTCAGTTCTGGGAGGTTTTCTGGGGGGGGGAAGCTTCTCGTATGTGTTTGCTGAAAGATAGAGCCTGCGATGCCCCATATGTCAGATGCTCTTGGCTTCACAGGGCAACAACCCCATGTGTCCCCATCGTCTGCCCTACACCTCTGCCAGGATGGGACCCAGCTGCCCCATTGTGGGATGGGGATAGTGGGTGCCCCCCTCCATCATCCCCAGCTGCCTGGAAAAGCACCGGCCGATAATTTCTGCCGAGCGTTGCCCTCTGCCTGTGGAGCTGCCACCACCAGCCCAGCATTTTGGATGAAAAATAGATGCTAACTGAAAAGGAAGAGAGAAAAAAAAAGAAAAAATAGAAACATTTCTCTAATTTACCCAGAGGAAACATTCCTTGCCACTCTGAATAAAAGCACAGCCGAGAAAGAATGTGAAATAATTCTCTATTAAAAGGGGGCATTAAAGAGGTCAGTAAACCCTTATGCCTCCAAGAAAATCGTTTAAACATCAGTTTTCTGGGCTGACCCAGGCTGCAGCAGGGGATGCTGAGCGAGGGGCCCTTCCTTGGTATGGCCTCGCTGTGCGGGGCTGAGGGGAGACCCAGGGAGTGGCCCCAGCTTCGCTGCCTTGGCCCTCTCCAGAATATTTTGGTACTCCTGTCACTGTCCCTCTGTGTCGCTCGAGATGAGTTCAGGCTCCTGGGCAAATCGCAGTCTCTTGGGTTTTTCCCTAGTTGCATCAGAACTGGCCATGCAAAAAATGTTCCGAGCTGCAGGGGGGCGGGAAGGCTTTTTGGGAGAGTTCCAGATGTAATTATTGTGCTTTTTAATAACTTAAACCTGTCCTCAGATTTGGTTTAGGAAAAATCGCTGGGATCTGTTGGTTTCCTTCAGGCAGACTTGCTCTGCTCCCCTGTTTATCCAGGAGAGCAGCAGCCACTGACGATTCTCCCCCGAGCATGACGAGGACCCATCTGGAGCAGCCCTGGGGCTGGGGGCTGGGGGGCTGAACTCTTCCCTGCTCCCTGGGGAGCCCCGGGCTTTTCCCACCCTCGAGGCTGCAGGACTATGCCAGGAGGAATGGTGGAGGGCTGGGAGGGATGAGTGATGGCTGGAAAAATCCCCCTTGAGCACCGTCCTACTGAGGTTGTTGCCGTTCCCTGTTTGTTGTGAGCTGGAGGTGGCCTGTGGATCACACGTTGTGCAGAAGTGAATTCCTTTCTTTTTTTATTTTATTTTTTTTTTACAAATAGGAAACAAGTTGCTTTTGTAAAGAACACACTTGTCTGATGGGTATGTTGAAATTATTCTTGGGGGAAAAAAAAAGAACTAATTATGAATGGAAAACACATTTGTCTGTCATTGGGGAAAATTGATGGTCTTGTTGCTACAGCTGCTTTTGCAGCTATGGGTAGTCTCTGATCCAACCTGTGAGCTGCGGTACCCGCCGGGGAGAAGCCCAGCTGCCCCCGCTGCAAGCACTGCTGAGACGGAGCCTTTGCCGGCATCAGCTGATGTTCAGCTGATCTAAGCTGGGATAGAATCTCCAAACACACCTCATGGAACTGGCTCTCAGCAGCACACGCCTCCCTGCAGCCTGGCGAGGCCGGCGGTGGCTGGGCTGCCGCGGGACTGAGCGCGGTACGTCTCGTCATGGTGTCTCCGTTGCCGAGTATATGAAGAATAAATTGTTGTATATGCTGATATGTATGTTATGTACATTTTCACAGTGATTGAATCATTGTAAACAACAAAATGGAAAAAGGAAAAAAAAAAAAGAATCACCATTCTGTCTATTTTATGAAGATGATAAAGCAGCTTTATTAAATTATTACGATTCTGTTTCCAAATGGTGTACCTGCCACATTGGGATTTTTTCATCTGATGAGAACTTTGTTTTCCACCTAAATGTGATTTTCTTTTCTCTGCTTTGAGCATCTAATGCATTTTAGTATTAAAGCAATTATTGAATAAAATGGAAAGTAAGTGTTTGGTTAAATGTGCCTGAGTGGCTTTGCTTTGATGGGCTCCAGGTGCTGGTCCTGCAGAAGCCAGCACATGGCTGGGTGCCCTGGGTGCCACCCCAGCCCTGTCCCTGTCCCACAGCTGATCCGCTTTGGCACCCGAGAGGCTGCAAACCTCAGGCAGAACTTTCCTAGCCCTGAGGAGGGGTCATTACCATCCCCACAGGTGACCCACGGGGGCAGGCAGGCTCTGAGTTCCAGAGTGTCAGAGCCCCTCTCCTCACCCCTGTGAAACTGGGCATGGTGCTGGTCCTTTGCACTGCCACTCCTCACCTTCAGGGGAAACACAACTATGACAGGGTTGAGCACAGGTAGGAAACACCTCCAAAACACACCTCCACTGAGACATGGCAGAGGAGAAAAGACTTTTTTCCTTAGTTTTTCAGGAGGGTGCTTTGGAGGCTGTGGTGAGGTGGTGAGGAGCATCCACTGCCTCTGAATTAGCAGGCTGTTCATGGACCACCCTTACACACGGAGCACCTGAGCACTTTGTGGCTACAAGGCTAAATGCTCCTCCCCAATGGACTCTGCTCAGTCAGGGTGACACCAAGGTGGAACTGGAACAAAGCAGTGACATGAGAAGCCCCTTCCCTGGCTTGGGAAGATGCTTGAACTGCACAGCTGAGCATCACCCTGCATAGCTGGGGCACACAGGGACAGAGGTTAGCTGGGGTTAACCACACCTGGATGGGCTCCCATCACTTTAAACCCTCGGTAAAGACTCCAGCGATGCAGCAGGGGCTGTGGTCAGCTTTGGCACAGGTGTGTGTCGGCAGGGAGACCCCAGGTAACAGTTCACAGCCAGCCCAGTGCCAGCACCTGCAGCTTGTTTGCACTGTCATTAGTGAGTCATTTGGTAGGTGGGGAAAAGGAGATAAATCCAGGCTGTGGAGGGGAGGTTGGTGGTTGTTTGGAGGTTTGTACTCTATCTGGAGAGGAATGTTACTGTTGCTGCAGTGATGCCTGTGCCCGAGGAGGCAGTGAGCTGTTAGAGCAACCCCAGGCTGTGACCCTGCCTGCACCGAGGGCCCAGGGCCAGAGCTGTGCCAGCACCACGGACTTCTCTGCCAGGTAGGAGCTGACCCTGTCTGGGAAGGAATTGTCCCAGTGAGCTGCCCTTGAACATCAGCAGTGGGAGGTGGAGGAAGGCAGCAGCAGTGGGGCTGCCCAGGCTGCAGTGAGGGTCACTGGGGGACTGGTTTGGGGTCAATGCAGAGCCCCAGCCCAGGGCCAGGTATGGGCTCACTGTGGCCTGAGAGACAAAATGGGGCTGAAACCTCCCCGGAGGGAGGGCTCTGCTTGTAGCATCCCAGACCAGCCCCCATTCAGAACCTGCCAGGGCCCCGCGGGTGCTGGGCTCGCTCCTGGTTTAATAACCTCCCACCATGCAAAACCCATCAGCTCGCTGTGCCGGCTGTGGGCTGGGAGCTCTCAGGTGTCAGGTTGGAGACACGTCCCTGCTGTGTTCCCCAGCCAGTTGTCACTGTCCTCTGTCCCCGCCGGCGCACCCGAAAGAGTTGCAGCGTCTCCTCTGCTGAGACGGCTGCGGGACCGCGGCGTTGGGCTTCAGTAACAGCGCCGGGAAGGGCCGAGGTGGGCGGCCGGAGGGCGGGATTGAGCGTCTGCTGCAGACAAAAACGGGATCCTTCTTTCATGCGTGCCTGTCTGGAAACGCCGCTCGTCCCTAGGGATGCGCTGCATCTCACTGCTTGGCGGCTGCTGGGTGCTGAGGGAACGATCCTGGGCTGCAATGAGCTCCAGCCAGGTCCCTGGGGCTGGGTGGGGGGACTTGGGCCAGGCAGGTCTGTTTCTGGCTCTGGTTGTGCCACGCACAACTGATAGATAACAGGAACAGCCAGTGTGGAGAGCAGGGTGCTGCAGGTGGGCTGGGCTCCCTAGGGAACTGCTGCCCACCCAGACGTGGGAGAACCCATCACTGGTCCCCCGAGCTCCCCAGCGTCGCTAAGAGAGGGTTCCTGGGGCTGCAGCCTTGGCTGGCTGTCACTCTCACATGGAAGAGAGGTTCTGGGGGTGCTGTATTGCACCTCAAGGTACAGATCCCCCACCCCTGTGCCCCCTGCAGTGAGGGGCTCAGCCGTGAAGACCAGTTTGATGAAGCTAAAGAGAGAATAAATTAGCAAAGAAAGCAGTCAGCCCTCACTAGGCAAGGTTCAGAGCTGGTTCAGAGACACGAATCTCATTTCTGTTTCTTCTGGACATTATTCTATATTATATTTGATGTTAAACTGGAATATCTAAATAGAGCCAAATTGGATTAACAAGCAATGACTTATCATATGCTTTGACTGTTAAGCCCACAAAGACAAGAACAAATAAATTGGAGGAATCAAAGACCTAAAAGCACAGAGCAAAAATATACATAATATATCTCTGTTTGAAGCAGGGCTCTGCAAACACGGAGTACTGTGGGTAGGGAAGGGGGGACAAATGTCCCTGTCCTGCCTTTCTGTCTGAGCTGGACCCAGGCTCTGCTCCTGTGCCTGCTTGCCTTGGGCAGGAACCAGCATCCAACTTTCCTGGCAGCCCCAGTAGGCTTCCAGTTGTTTAACTTGCAGCTGCTTTTTGTTTTGTGTTGTTGTTCTTTTCTTTTGAATGTGATGTAACCGAGCGTCCCCAAAGAGCCATCAGAGAACAAACACAGGCAGGTGTACAATTATAGAGCTCACCTCTGCTGCCACACACAGCCCTGCTCAGCTCCCTCCCTGCTCTGGCCCTCGGTGGTGGAATGGGCTGTGCAGGAAGGATGGCTCTTTGGGGACAGACTCTGGGCTTTAGGGTAGACATCACACTATTGGCGGGGGTGTCTGGGCAGTTTCTGTGGGGATGTGGCTGGTAACTGCTGTGCTGCAGCGTGATCAGTCACTGCAAGCCAGCCTTTAAAATAAAACAAGCCAAGAAAGCAGCACTGTCGTGCTGCTGTGGAAAACCCTGCCGTGGCACTTTCCATTAATACAGATAAAAAATTGAGACACAGGGCAAACAATATTAACCCCATCACTGATCAAGCTTAAAAGCTTTTCCCAAGAAAAATTGTCTCTGGATTGCAGTTAAATAATGGGCAAGGGGGTGGTTGGCTGCAGAAGCCTCTGCCACAGTGCCGACAGGTTCTCCTGCCCAGGGCATGGGAAGGTGGCTGGGGTGGCAGCAGAGGGTCAAATACCAGGCTGTAATCCCTTGCAAAGCTTTAGGACAGAGGAAGCTCCAAATTGCCCCTGTGCTTTAGGAGGAGATGGCACACAAGCAGATCATCAACCTCGGCAGAGGCCAATCTGTGCTGCCTGAGGGTGATGAGTTGTTTTCCAAGGCCAAAATAAAAAGGAATTACGATAATAAAACCTCCAAGACAGAAACTAAGTGTAAGGGTTTCCAGTTTCCCAGACAGGAGAAATGGGGGTTAATTGATGGGAGCTCACATTTCCCCAAATGTGGAGGAAACTGGGGCAGGGGCTCCCTGTGCCCTTAGGGCAGAGTGTCCAGCTTGGCCCTGCTCCATGGATGCAGCAGAGCTGATTTTCCCTTTCTCCCCAAACCTCTGCCTTCTCCAGCTCGTGTTCACTCCCAGCCCCTTTTGGAAGCAGCAATTCTGCCCATGAAGGTGGGTGCTGTATCACCAGTGCATTTTGTCATTGCCAGGCTTGGCAGACGTGAGCCCCCAGCACGTTGGACCTGCTCACCCACTGTGGTGCTGATGCAGCTTCATGGGTCAGGGGCCACCTGGGAAGGGCTGGATGTGAGCTGGGGGATCTGGGAAGGGCTGGATG